GCTCACAGCCCCATCCAGCCTGGCCTTGGATGTTTCCAGTGTGGGGGCAAAGCCTCTCTGGTAACTTCTTCCAGTGTCCCACAGGAAAGAATTTCTTCCTAATATCTGGTCTAAATCTAACCTCTTCCATTTTAAAGCCATTTCCCCTCATCCTGTCTCTACCTGCCCTTATGAAAGTCCCTCCCATTTCCTATAGGCCCCTTCAGGTACTGGAAGGCTGCTATAAGGTCCCCCCAGAGCCTTCTCTTCTCCAGATTAAAGAGTCCCAGCTCTCGCTGCCTGTCCTTGTAGGGGAGGAACTCCAGCCCCCTGATTGCTTTGTGGCCCTCCCCTGGATCTGCTCCAACAGCTCCACATCCTTCTTCTGCTGAGGACCAGAACTGGAAGCAGTGCTCCAGGTGGGGTCTCACAAGAGCAGAGTTGAGGGGCAGAATCACCTCCCTCAATCTGCTGGTCAAATGCTAAGCATAGTCTTCTAAGCAGAAAAGCTTTCAGAATCAGGTTTCCTTTAAAATCATAAAAACGGAGCTTTCCAAATAGAAGAAGTTCCCATAAAATCTGGAAAGCGGAACTGTCACCACAGAGGTGCAGCCAGCTGCACTGTCCGCTCAGCAGCTGGGAAGGCGATGCAGCACAGACGCGGCAATGCCCGCTCGGCGCTCGGCTCGCCTTTGCACAGGCGCCCGGCGGGCTGTCCAGCGTGCTGATGCTCCCTGCGAGCTGCGGTGCCCCGAGCAGCGAGGGGCTCACAAGCACTGCGTCCCATGAGGAGACAAGCCAACAGCCTGGCTCCCAGCTACACTTGCATACACTGCTCCACGCTTTCATTTTCATTTGTGCCTATTTTCTACTGCACTCACGACAACTAAATCCGAGGGAGCGTTGAGAAGTAGTTCCACCAAATCAAATCACATCAAATCAAACATTTTGGGAAATCTTCTCTTGTTTTCTGGAAACTCAAGAAATAATGTGCAGCAGTGAGCAGCTGTATTTTCTGGCTCTTCCTTTTGACATATTCTTATGCCCTTATGTCTCTTTTCTAATATTTCCTGGAGCCTGCTTTGTTTGTTTTTTTTTTCACCTAGATCCAAAAAGTTTAAATAAAATAAATCTGTAAACCAAAGATTGCAACAAGCACATCTTAGAAGTATCAATAAATCCATGCACTGGAAGAGCTGCAGAGACTTAAAATCCACCCCCAATTTTAAGTAGTGTGTTCTTCAAACTACCGTTGCAGTAGCTATTAACCTCTCCCTCTCCAAGATGGACACAGCAATATAAATCATATTTTGAAAGATTTAGTGGAAGATCAGGGCTTTGGGAGAAATGAAAGAGGAGTAGCAATTAAGGAAGATTCCAGGAGGCAATCAAGCATTTATGCAATTTGTCTCATAAAAACAAAACAAATAAGGGGAAAGAAGCTGTATGGGAGTGGGGGGGGAAAGGTACTTACACTCTTCTTCCATAACAACTATTTTAGTTTCTGAGGCTGGTAAAACTTGTGGTGCTTTCGTTGTTCCTGGGGAAATTAAGGTAAGAAAGTAGTGAACAAAATATCTAATTCGAACAGAGAAGATTGGGCTTAGCTATGCAGGGAGGAGAACGAGGGCAGGTGCTGCTGGCGGAACGGGCTGGGGAGGCTGCTGACACGTTAGTACTGGTGAGGGGATGCTCAGATGGATCACTGGGGGAGAGGCAGACAAACACTTGTCCCTGCAGGGGGATGGCACAGCGCAAGTCGGTCCCCTTGTGATAAGGGGACTTACACCACGATAAAAAGACAGAAAGGGCTCAGGGTTCACTGGGTGTACGATGAGTGAAACCACCACAGGTTTTCATTGCCCTAACAGCTGTGAGAGTGCAAAGAGCACAGCAGAACAGTGAGAAAAATGTGGAGCTGAAGAAAAGTCGAGATGGGCTCATGATGGCAAGCCTCCACCCTGTACTGGCAGCTCTGTGACAAAAAGGAATGCTCTTACAAGGAATGGAGGAGCTGGAAAGAGATGAAGGCCAAGGCCAAAGGCAGCGTGGGAGCCCAGCACATGTAGTGATTACCTCTTTACAGTGCAAGAGGCTGGGAAAGTCCACTGTCCACAGCCACTAAGGCAGCTGTCAGCAAAAGCCCCTTCTGGATCAAAGCCCCTCCTGACAGCCAGAGTCAGGGAGAAGAAAGCACCAGGAGGCAATGCTGTGTGAAGGCAAGATGGTGAGGCCACTAAGAAAAGGGAAATAGAAGGGAAGCAAAAAGGTTTGTAGGGAAAGTTAAAGTTTTCCCAGAGTTCTTAGCAAAGGAGGTGGTGGGGCATTAGTCAAGGAGCTGCCTAGTAATTTTCTGAGGAAAAAGAGCCTGAAACTGTCACATCTCAGCTATGCTCTCATTCGCACTTGTGATGCCAATATTACTCTACCAATAGAGAGGAAATGGGACATTCTTCTAAGAAAGCGTCTAATTTACCTCAGAGTAATAAAAATCTGAAAAGAGCACCAAAGCACAGCAGATTTTGATGAAACCCAGAAGCATTTCCTCAGAAACCGACAGCCTTCCAAAGCTTTTCAAAGGGAAAGCTTCTATTTTCAAGCTGGGTATTTTGTGGAAATTCCAGAATTGCAGAGGAGGAATAAGCTGCTGGGTTTGGCCAATGGGCATTTTCTAAGAGATAAAGGGCCATGGCACTGCAGCCACTCTCTTTCTAAGGAAAATCTCTTTTCAGTGTGGCATTTTCAGTGATTTGAGTCAGATATATGGGACTAAAGTGGTTCTTTCTGCAAGTGATAAAGGCTGAAAAGTTGTAGTGGAATAGAATACAGCAATGAGTACTTTGCAACAGCAACTCTGCCTCATCAGGCTGAGAAATGCTTGTCAGCAGAGACATCCCCATCCACAGACACAAGGGCCTTGTGTGTGAGCATCTCTGCCAGCCAGGACCCGGGGGGCTCAGGAGCCTCCACCCTCCAAAGGACCCTGTCTCCAGGGATGGGGCAGCAGTGATAAAGTTGAATAGAGAAGCTGAACAACTAGAAGCAGCAATAGCTGGAGTGAGCTTCAGGAAAAGAGGGAGGCTTCGAGGAGAGGGAGATTATGCACCTCTGATTAATTGCTGTCAACTTGTAGGGTTGTACAGAGCAGAGTTGAGATGTAGTCAGAAAAAGCTCAAAGAGTAATGCAGGCAGGGACAGAAGAGCATATGTGGGTTCAGAGACAAGCAGATATCTTGGGAAGCTTTCTATTGAAAGGTATCACAGAAGAAAGGAGTGTGCAGAAGTGAGGTGAGGAAAGCTTCCCAGGCCCCAGGAAGGCCCAGCAGTATGGACATTGTGGAAGGAAAGAGGAGGATTCCATATGCGAGTGCACAGGCACAGATGAATGGTGCTCTGCCCTGAGGAGCTCCAGGGACAAGCAACAGAAGGGCACAAGCAAGCAGCAGAGAGGCAAAAGCCTACAGTGATCAACAACATCCTATTTACCTTTGCAAAGGACCACAACTAACTTTTAATTGCAAACACCTGCTCTCCTGCCAGCAGCAGCGAGCTGTGCATGCAGCTCAGCTCAAAAGCCAAAGGTAGATTTTCAAGGCTGCTTAGAGAACAGATTCATCAAGACCCCACCACAAGCAGGGCACACCAAGCTATCTTCTATTTACTGGATCTGCAGCCCCTTGCAGCCTGCATCTCCCACCAGGTAAAAGTGATTTTTGTGTCTCTGATTGCTTTTGTACTCTCAAACCATTACTGGGCAACTCAAGTGTGTCCTTGCACTCCCTGCAGCACGAGTGAGAGTCACCTGCTCCTGCCCTGGCCAGACAGGAAGAGTTACATCTGGGAGCTGCTGCAGCCTGATGCGCATTGCCCAAGAGCTGTGAGCAGCATGCACGATGATGCAGTGGGCACTGCTCCATCAGTCTTCCTCTTCTGCAAGGGCTGGAGAAGTGGAGGAGGTGTGCAGGGCTGTGGCAGCAGGCACTGTCTGTGCTGCACACAGAGGGTGGTACACACGGCTCCCAGCCCAACAGAGCTGTTCATACCACGATGGGACAGCCAGAGCATGAGTCAGAGAAAAGAAGAGGCACTGCCTCTGTTGGCTTGCTCTGGACACTTTCCCTGTCATGATCGGAAAGAAGCAAGGCTAACTTTCCAGATCTGAGCATGGGCTGCCTTCCCCAGGCATTACGAGCACTGGCTTTGTGCAGGAGCAAAACTGAGGGGGAGTATGCAGTATTCCAGCCTCACAAAACATTTGGGACTGCAGACCTTGCTGAGGCAAAGGTTAATACCGAAAACAATGCCAGAAAGCAGTGGGAAAAAAGGCACCTTCCATCACATGTGACCAGTATTATTGAGAGCACAGCAGCAGTGAAACTGGACTGTGCCAAAGGGCCACATGGCAGAGCCAGGCCTCCCGCAGCGGCCATTGACGGCAGGAAGAAGAGCTGAGGCAACAGAGCTCACAGCAGCCATCCCTCCCCTGCTCACACCCTCCCGGCTTCTGGCAACCACTGCAGGGACTTTCAGAGCTGGAGGGAGCATCCAAACCATCATGTTAAGCAATATAATTACAATGACCAAGATAATAATAAAACCACCTAACCTCAGACTCCATCCACTGAGCTCTAAGAGATGGAGCACACATTCTAGGATGAAAACCAGAAGCAACTTCACTCATCACAAAGCTATGGTTTAATTACTTGTCTTCTGGTGTGTTTTGCTTCTCAGAAAATCTTTAAAAAAATAAAACATCAAGCCCACCAGCTTTCTTTCTTCCTTGCCCTTTTTAAAAAATACGTAGACTGTAAGTTTATTTAAAATGTAAATGAACCACATTGCCAGTGACAGATAACTAAGATAAACATTTATGCTAAGCTTCATTTTTCTTATCTCCCAAGATTGTTTTACTTGATATCCTGAAAGCATGAAACAAAATACAAGACAGATCACCTGCAGAACCTCCCGCTTTCTGCTTGAATGACAAATGGCTCAAGACATTTACTGACTTCTTCACTTACCACTTCTCACATTCAGGCTGCCTTTTGCGGTGTCTTTCCCTAAAACGTTCTCCGCTTCGCAGCTGTACTCCCCAGCATCTTCCAGCTTCACCTTGTTGAACTGCAGTCTGGAAATCTTTCTGTTGGAAAGTATAGCAGACATTTCTTACTCAATTGCTAACCATCTTCATGAATTGATAACCATTCCTGGCCCTGCTACACTGCCTGATAAGTTACCCCTTCTGCAGGAGACGGTCTGCCTGATCTCACCAGCTGATCAGGATTTAAATGAGACCCTTCCCAGGAATCACAGCCATTGTCATTTCCTAACTGACCATCTCTCTTTGAACCCACTGCTCTTAGCCTGATGCCACAGTTTGGTCTGACATCTGCTCCCATTCTCAGGAAGGCCATATATGAAAAGTCAAGAAGTCTTGTGAGGGGTTGAACCCAAGACCCCAACTCCCCAGCACACAGACCTGCACCAGAGAAAGGCCACTTTCCTGAAGAACACCAAGATCTGACTGCAGGAAGGAGAGGAGCAGCACGTTCTGCACCTTAGCAAGGAAGACAAGCAGCTCAGCTGCCTCCCTTGCCATGTCCAGCTGTGCTGCACACTCAACCCCCCATGCTATGGTCATGGGGCAATGTACCCATGCATTCCAGCCTGCAAACCAAAGCCCTGAGGTTTGAGCTAAACAACTATCTTGTAGCTTTCTCTGGGCAAACGGGGCAAGCATTTTGTCTCCCCCAAATACACAGACTGCATTGTGTCAGGCTGACATCCACGTGATCATCTTATTGGCCAGAAGCACCTAGGAAGATCAGAAGATGATGTAGGTGATGACTGCTCACCTGGCCTAACAACCCATGCTGTGTGCTTTGTGGGAATGGGAGCTGCACGGGGCTCTGTGGTGGTACAGGAAAAGACCATCGCCTTTCCCTCCATCTGGCTCATGTCTCATTCTCCAGGATGTCTCTCTGATGACAAGGCAAAACCCTTTGTTAAATAGTTCAACAGAGATCAATCAGCCTTCAACACACACCAAAGACCACTCATGAGACCACAGGGGAAATCCCTGATCAGACCCTCTGTTTTACATTTCCTTCTGGTTTAGATAGCTTATCAAAAAACACCCTATGCTCTCTTTGGTGAGAACATCTCCCTCTGCTTGCTACCCCAAGTTCTTATCTCAGGTCTGTGTCGTACAATCACTTGACAGACAAGCTTGGAAGCACTGGCAGATTTAAAAAGAGGTCCCACTGGCCTACGTTGCTGAAGGCAATATTCCTCTAATGTGGAAAACCGTTATGTCTGGAAATATTTGCAACATTGCATATGTCATCTAGGAAGGACTTTGGACTGTGCAAATGATTTTCCATAGAAAGTCCTTCACAGAAGCGCACTGAAATCTCTTCAACACCCTGACGTGTTGCTCTACTGGGAGCCATGGTGCAAGGACACGGAGTGAACATCTCACTTGCTGTGTTAGCAAATGAAAAGCACTTGAGATGATTTGGTACAGCTCCCAGGATACAGGCAATGCCCTGTTCTGCAGGATGTGGTCAAACGTTCAATTACAAGAGTTTTGGCCCCATGTGGAACAATTTTAAAATGAATGTTGACAGTGTGTCTCCTGAATTCCACTAATCCTAGGTCTCCACTACTCCACAGTGCAAAGCCAGTTATATGGGCCAACATGCTCGAATGTGGGGGTCTAATCCAACAGGCTGATGTACAGACTCTGGGGAGGTATGACAGCCACTGGATGATGGGCTTTGGCCCTGTGGGGCTGTGGAAACCAGTGCAGGACCCCATTCCCCTCTCCCTCCACAGAGGCAGGTGTAGGAACAGTCAGGGAAGGGTCAAGGCCAGGTCCTGAAAGCTGAAAGCGTTAACAAACAGGCTGCCTGCAGCTGCCAGACAACAGTTACTCTAATGATTATTGGCTGCACTGTGATCTCAGATGCACAGCACGTTTTGCCGCGTGCAGTAACTGGAAAAATCCACTCTGTATCTCCCATGTCCGTGATCATTTTCAGATAAAGGTTTTTAAATTCCAAATATACAAATTAGTAAGTTATTTAGTGACACAAAAGGCTAATGAAAGGGGTCATACTTGACAGATTCATCTCCAGTAACAGGATGAGAGACATGGTCTTTTACCTGGAACTGGAGGAGAACATGAGCAGAATATAAAGCAGTGCTAGTATTTATAGAACCTCGATATCAAGGTGAAACCAAAGAGGATTATTTTGTTTTAATGCACAAAACTGTTGTACTGTCAAAGGAGATTATTGTTATTTTCTAACGCAGCTTGTTGAATCTCTCCCGGATTGCAAGATCCCCTTAGAAAAATCAAGAGCTTTTTTTGGGACCAATGATCTCAACAGTACAAAGTATAACGTCGGGCAAGAGACCTAGGGCAGAGGGATGAAAGGTACAGAAGAGGATGAGATTTAATGTAGAGCATAGCCACAGCAAAATGAAATTTTCTCTTCCAGTAAGCCCTGAAACAGTCAGAGAATTACCTTGCTTCAGAGCACCAGTCTGAACCTTTTTAAAGCACATGAATCACAGAATCATAGAACTGTTTGTGTGGAAGGGACCCCCGAAGGCCATCCAATCCAAGCCCTTGCAGAGCACAGGGACACCCGCAGCCCATCAGTGCTCACAGCCCATCCAGCCAGACCTTGGCTGCCTGCAGGGACGGGGCACCGCCACCTCTCTGCGCACCCCGTGCCAGTGCCTCACCGCCCTCAGTATAAAAAACTGTTTCCTTATATCTAATCTAAGTCTCCCCTCTTTTAGTTTGAAACCATGACTAATGACTCTTCACAAGATGAACTCCACTGAAGATGTGAGTGAGATTAGGTCTTACGTGACTTGTGCGTGGCAGAGAGAAAGATGAGCAGTCCGTCTCTGTTCCTTTTTACTACTTTCACATGCTTCTGAAATACCTCAAAGCTGCTTAGGAAATTGGTTTTGCAAGTTTGCATTCTTCCTCCTGTTGCCTGGAGGGCAGACATTTTGCTTCTTTGATGGCCGAGGTGTGTTTGTAAAGAAGTGCCAAGTAACAGCTCCAGGAGGAACCTTCCACAGTTCCCTGTCCCCTGCTGCCCTTCAGGGCTGTGCTCCCTGGGGATGCTGGCTCCTGGGACAGCCCTGCCGCGCTCCTCCCGAGGTGCCTGGCTGCCAGACGATGCCATTCTTCTGGAGGAAGGCACTGCCACAGGCTGTTTGTTCAGTGAAAGGGCTGGGGTCACTGACAGATGCCATCATTTCAGTGCAGCGTAACACTGTTGACATTTCTGTACTCCAGGGAAAAATCTGCCTCATTGTATTTTCTGACCCTCAGCACATATGACTTAGCCACGCACTAATTATCTCCTGTAGTGCCAATGGAGGAGTGAGCCATGGAGAATAGGTTGTCCGCAAGCCCTGGGGGATGGAATCCACAAGGAGCCCTTCAGCCTGGCCAGAACAGGATCCCCAAAATACCTTTCCAGCCAAGAGAACAAGTCCCCCAGAGGGCAGTTTGAAGTGCCAATCTGCAGACTACAATGGGAGGCAGGGAGATCAGCCCTCGGCTGAGACCTACACAAAGATCCTGGTAAATCCTGGCCAGGAAGGGTGGCCTCATTGGCCGTAATTTAGACATCTCAGAGTTAGACACCGAAATATGAGCTTGGGCCCCAAGGCCTCCTGTACAGAGAGAGGAAAAGAAACAGGCGCTTCATTCTGCCCAGGGAGGAACTTTTTGTGACAGGACTCATGTTTCCACCAGCACTTCGGTTAGCTTGAATCGCCTTTCTCTTCCTCCCTGCTGCCAAGTGGAAACCGGACCTTCTTCCCAGGCCCCTTCATCACAGAGCTGTGCACCTGGGTGCCCACGCTGCCTGCGGACACTGATCTGTGGGGACTCGGTGAGCCCTGCGTGAGCTCAACTGCTTCTGCATGGTGCAGGGCAAAAATAGCTCTCGGATTATTACTATTGTAGTATTTTATGAGTCTTCTAAAAATAGAAGAGCTAACACAGAAGTTATAAAAAAGCCAAGGATTCAGCTAGTGAAGAGAACTGGAAGACGACGCCTTATTTGGCCTCTACATTGTCAATGAAAACCGTCCATAGTAAAAACACGTGAGATCCTAGGAAAAGGATATTCTCAGGTGTGCCTCTCACAAAGGGCATTTAATAGACTGCCGTGGTTACCTATTAACTCCTTTCCTCTCCGAACAGCCAGGCAGGCAGGCAGCACAGCAGTGCTGCAGAGAGCACAGGGGCCGGCACTGTGCCCCATGCACTGCTCCACACTGCCAGTGATTCAGTGGTGCCTGTGTGCTGTGCCGGCACTCTGCACAGTGGTGAATTTGCTCTGAGAAAGCGGGTTTATGGCTCGCAAGAAGATTCACACCATCCAGCCCTCCAGCTTACAGTCCCAAAGCACCATCTGGCAACAGCCCACCATCAGTCACTCTGCTGGCCTGAGCAGGGACTCTCAGTGTCCCTGTCTCAGGAAACACATTCATCTTCCCCAGCAAGAAGCATGAGAAAATCAGGTAGAAGAGTTCACTGCAATGTGAAGCAGACCAAGGATGGCCACGGCAAAGCAGCTCTGCCAGACAGGCAGAAGAGGCAGCCAGGACCATGCTCTTGCCTGCACAGCCAGATGGAAACAGCCCCAAGCTCTCCCCTGCCCTCAGTTACAGAGCAGCACAACAGAACTGGGTAAGCTGGCTGTGCTTGTGGTGCCTGAGAACACATAGCTGTGCTGGATGCTGTGAACTCTAGGGCAAGATCTGGCTAGTTCAGGATTAACTTTAAAAACAGTGAATGAGAAAGGGTGAAAAAAAAAGCAACCCTCAAGCAAAGCAATCAAATAAGATGGGTAAGAAAAGGGAGGTTCAGACTTCTCAGCTCAGCTTCCATCTCTCCTGTAGTGGCAAAGTCCTCCTTCCACCTTCCCTCACACCATCACCTGCCCTGCTCGTGGTTTGACTGCTGGGACCATGGGAGAAGTGAAAGATGTCCTTGTGGGGGCCCAGGGCAGGACCAACCATCCCCAGACCCCCTTTGCCTGATCTCTCCTACCCCTGTCCCCCAACATTAAAGTGCTGTTCTAACCTGAAAAGCAGATT